GTTAAGGCATCGTAAAACCGTTCGTAGGTCTAGTATTATCGCTGGAGCAACCACATGAAGCCTGCGATGGCTGCGCGGTTGGACAAGATCATCAAGGAAGCGCTGCAAGGGTCGGGGTTCACGTTCGGCGCCGGGGCCAGCGGGGCCAGCTGGTCCATGGCATGAACACAAGGAATCTCCATAGTAGGTGTGGAAGACAACAGCGTGGCGAATCAATCTGTGGTCGAATGGTTAGCACAGCGGTATTCTAAACCCACCTGAGCTCAAGTAAAATAACGACGGCATAATTAAGGAATCATACCGTTAAACACTATCGAGCCGTTACTGGAATTCAAAGCTTAGTGCAAATAAACTATTTTCTGAAGCTGGGAATCACGTGGTCAGCTATCTACTACGGAGCATAAAAGAACGTAAGGCAGCCGGCCGATGTACAATTAATGCCAGAGAGAGGCACCAAATTCAGCTATCGCAGGAAATAATGGCCACGTCTGGAGACGACGACATGGCCGAGCTCGTGATCTCCTCGCTCCCGCTCGAGACGCGGTGCCCGCCGTACCCCCTCAGGCAGCACGGCGGCTTCTGGTTCTCCGAGCCGTTTCTCCCGGCCGTCGCGGCCGCCCGCGCGCGGTTCGAGGCCAGGCCGTCCGACGTCCTCCTCGCCAGCTTCCCCAAGTCCGGCACCACCTGGCTCAAGGCCCTCGCCTTCGCCACGCTCCACCGCGCCGACCACCCGCCGCGCGGCCTCGACCACCCGCTCCGCCGCCGTAACCCCCACGACTGCGTCGAGTTCCTCGAGGAGGCATTCGCGTCTCCGGCGGCGAAGGACAGCGGCGGTGACGTGCTCGCGGCGCTCCCTTCGCCGCGCCTGATCGCCACCCACCTGCCGTACACCCACGTGCCGAAGAGCGTGACCACCGAGGGCACCGGGTGCAAGATTGTGTACGTCTGCCGCGACCCCAAGGACGCGCTCGTCTCCAAGTGGCAATTCACCAAGAAGAGATTGGCGTTCGCCGCGGCAGCTCCAGATAATCCACCGAAGCCATGCACAGTCGATGAGATGTTCGAGCTCTTCTGCGACGGTCGGTGCACCTACGGCCCTCAGTGGCACCATGTGCTCGGCTACTGGGAGGCGAGCCGGAGGCAGCCGGAGAAGGTGCTCTTCCTCCGGTACGAGGAGATGCTCCGGGACCCGGTGGGCAACGTGAGGAAGCTGGCGGAGTTCATGGGGTGTGTGTTCTCCGGGAAGGAGGAAGCGGCGGGGGTCGCGGAGGACGTCGTGGAGCTGTGCAGCATGGACACTCTCAAGAACATGGAGGTGAACAAGAATGGCACGCAAAACAGCGTCAAGAATGAGGCTTTCTTCCGGAAGGGCGTGGCTGGGGACTGGAGCAACCACATGACACCGGAAATGGCGGCACGGCTGGACAAGATTGTTGAGGACGCCCTGCAAGGGTCGGGGTTCGCCTTTGGTGATACCGCCGAGTCCACGTGATCGAGCCGTCGGCCGACTGGCAGGGTCGAAAAATATGGAAATGGAAGTCGATGTGGCGGAAGCAAGCACGTAATACGATCAGATCCAGGAAATAAAGTAGTGTTTAGTAGATCGTTGTTTGACGAAAAAAGACAATGTATGCACTTCTTAAATTTTGGGTTACATCAATAGGCTGATCTACTGAGTTCTCATTTCAAAATCATTCATGCTACACCTACAAAGACTGGTCTACAATTTTGTGCTACATCAATAGACCGATCTACTGAGTTTTACACATGTTTACTTAAACTTCCAAACTAATTCTCCCCCCCCCCCCATGATTTTAAATGGGGTGGGCCCCTTCATTCCCTAATACCAATCACAATCCTCCACACCAGTTTGTACGTAAAATCTTTAACTAGACCTTGGTAGATGTAGCATTACTCGTCTAAGTGCACATATTCTTGAAAACTTGCCTCTGCCACCTCCGGTCGCTCCCTCTCCTCCGGGCTCCCCTCCGTCGGCCGCAGCCATCCGTGCCTATCACGTGAATCTATTCTTGACGCTTCCTTCGCTGCAAAATAATTATATGACACTTGTTTCCATTAGTTGTCTCTCTCATATTGCCTTGTGGTGAGTGCAATCATATTATGCTTTTTCATATTGAGATTGAACTATCTTTCTCATTTATGCTTGAAGACTTGGACATCTTGATTGTGAATCATGTTTGTTTGAGTGAGCTTAATGTTTTGGTTGTACTCGCACCATGTGTTTGCATACCATGCCGCATTATCTTGTCGCTTCTTATTATAAGAATGATGATGACACCTGTTGGGTATCTCATCACACCAATGATGGGTTTTGCACTCATGCTAACTTCATTTGTTTTTCCAAGTGTTTGTCATGTTCTTTCGTTTTAAAGGATTCACAAGGTGGTTACATCATGAGACATATTGGTTATGAGAAGGCGTACACGAGACGTGGCATCAACATTTACGAGAGCCTCATAAAGGTGAACACATTCCCTTTGACCCATCCTCACATACGCATTTGATGGACCATTTTTACATTGTTGTCTCCTTTTTGTCTATACATGATACATCTATTGGATAGAGGAGCGACTCTGGCACTTGGCTCTACGCGACATCAAGTTGATGAGTGCTCGGACTTAGTGGATGCACCTACTTTGGACGCACCACCGGACCACCACTCTTGCCACGACATCGAGCCATGGTACAATAATATCCACAACAAATTTGCACCTTATGCATGTATTGACTCACATTATGATTGCCTTGTTGCATCTTGTATTTTCATGTCATCCATGATATATGAGCTTGTGCACTTTCTTAGCAAGTTTGTTGTGATGTACGTTGATGGCCTATTCATACGTAATGTTCACATTGCCCACCATCAATTGCATGATAACATAATCACATTGAGCACCAATTTCCATGTCCATGCTATTGATAAACCACTCCACTATGACATCATTTTGCGCAATGACGCATTAATCACATTCACAACAACTTTGTGTATACCACAAATAAATTTGCTCCCATGAATGCTTTAAATATCATTCTATATCATTTGGCTAAGCATCATGTGCCACGAACAATCTTGTTGGACTAAATCATGCTTAAATGAAGGACACCTTTTGCGCGCTAACAATGTTATTTCCAAGTGTCCCTTGTGTTTGCTATTTTTGCATGTATACATTTTCAGAGACATCTTAGAGTATTTTGATTGCTCCATGACATAAACGATGTCCAAATACAAGTCCCTACATGTCTACCATTTCCATGGTGATGAGGGTTACGATCGAAGGACGAATCTTTCCAAGGGGGAGGGGATGATGCGGAGCATCCTACGGTCATCCTCATGGACATGCCATTGTCACCCGAGAGCCTTCAAAGCGACGATTGGTCGTATCTCAACCTCATTCGGTCATCTCTAGGGTGGGAGCTCCTTTACGATACACTCGTACTCCATGGCTCCTGGTCCCGTCTTAGCAATCTGAGCGTACGTGCATGTTTGTCATGAACAGGCATACCTCGCCGCCTCCTTCCCAAATGAAACAATAGCAGGGGGATCCTAATTTAATTGTGTAATACCTAATTTAACTGATGTACTGTAATACCTTGATCCCTGGTGAAATAATGGTAGGGGAAACCTAATTCTAGCATGTCAAAAACATAAAATGAAGAACCAAAATAGTCCAGCTTCAAAAACTAGTGTCATGGCACTAAAAAAATGTACAATACGTCAAGTAGTGGACTACTAGGTACTGATCAACCAAGCATGCTTTTTGAGCATATGCATGCTTATCTGCGTACAGTGTGAACTAATAGAAAAATTAATTGGCAGCAACCGCTACTAGGCGAAACCCTAGTAGTAGGGCGATGAATTTTCCTACCACTAGCGCGGGGCACAACAACTAACTTTTAACAGTAGTGACTGTCTGACCCCACGCTACTGCCAAGTCAGTTATCAGTAGCGTCGAGTTAGGTCGGTGCTACTGCTAAGTACTAGCAGCGTGTGCTGTTACCCAACGCTACTATTATTCATCCGTATTTCATTTCTTTTGTTTTATACTGCATTTATACATCGTTATACAATTTTTGACACAATAGAAATTAGGAGATTGTTATACATTATGACAATGATGAGTTATTATATCAGTGGGTGAAAGAAACACAGATTAGATTCAAGTAGATGGATCCAAAGTGAACAAGTTCCATTAGTGTCCATTTTTCTTCCACCCAATGATATAATAACTCATCATGATCCTACTAATCCAACTTGGTCACTTTGGATCCATCCACTTGAATCTAATCCGCGTTTCTTCCACCCGCTGATATAATAACTCATCATGATCATAATAAAAACTCATCATCATCATCATAGTCATATAAGAACTCACCATCATCATCATCATCATATAAGAACTCACCATCATCATCATCATAATAACAAGTCCTCCTCATCGTCATCATAGTCATATAACAACTCATCATTCTAGCACATTCTAGCACATAACTCATCATCATCATCATAGTCATAACCAACACTAGATAATTTTCTTAGCACATGACAAGTGCTAGCTAGGACCTGCTTTTCTCTCTAAGGTAAAATAGCATAAAACAACCCCTCCATCTCCATTATGGAGAATAGAGATCAACCTTTCTCCAATTTGTGGGCTACACACCATGTTGCCTTCAAGTAGTTCCATACGATCATTCACAAGTTTTCTCCATCCTTTGATTGTGAGGTCTTCATCTCTTCGAGAAAGGACTGCGGTGAACCATAGGCAGACTTGGCCGTAAGCTAATAATATCCATGTCACCTTCCATATACATCAGATAAGGCACACAATTCTTCGGGAATTTCTGTTGAAGAACATAATAATAACATATTTAGCAATGTAGTTTAGCTTAAGAAGAATGTATGCAAAATATGCACTGGTGAGATAATAGTAAAAGAAAATCTTACCATGCTATTTTCATGGATGTTATCGTAGTTCAACACGTGGACTAGTGGCACATATTGAGCATAATTTGGGTTAATTTCATAATTGTTCTTGAAAGTCTTAATATCATTAATAAACGAGACACGATGATTTTTGTCCTCGCGAGTTAGTTCGGAGCCATAAGTAGTAGGTATTGTCTACTCCCTTCCGTACATTTCTTGAAGAATAGAAATAATTTGTAAACTACTTTTGAATGAACAATATAAGTTACTTAACAAATTTATTTGACAAACTCACATAGAGGTAGAACTGGAAGCATAACTACATCCACCTAAATGTCAAAATTATCTCCAATATCATCTTCAGGACGAATATCAAAGCTTATTTGTACATCCTCCTAAAATCCATAGGCCTTGCATAGAGCTCTCCAATTTGAGCAACCAAAATATGAGTGATTAACCGCATTGTAGAGCTTAAATCAAAAAGCGTAACCATGTTGAGTCCTAAGGCGATGTTTCCTCGTATCCATATTCTCATTACCTTGGAAACCGAGGTTCTCCAAGACATATCATCTTGCATGGCAGGGGATGCACTGGTTGAATTGTAAATAACGGACATTACACGTTGAAGCAAAGAAGCACAAGTCATGATTAATTAAGAAAAAAAATACTTGTCGTGGTTACGTACCGTAAAAACATTGAAGGTCTAGTCCAGCTTGATGGTGAAGAACCTACCATTTTCTAGGTGAGGCCTGTCGCACATGCCCCGGTTGTCGCTGCAGTAATCACACTCAGGGATCCTATCATCGTCAGACATTTCCTGCATTCATAATTCAAAGATTATAATCGACGGCAATTACCAGGAACTCAACACACAAATCACTATTCAGCACGGGTTGACTTTTGGTCTGTCGAGTCCTCCTTGATAACTCTCATCTCACGTGGTGTATATGGTGGGCACTCCCTCTTTGATATATTCAACCGTCGGTGATGGTCGTCCCTGTTGGGGAACACGGTAATTTAAAACAAATTCCTATGATCACGCAAGATGTATCTATGTGATGCATAACAACGAGAGGGGAGAGTGTGTCCACGTACCCTCGTACACCGAAAGCGGAAGCATTATGATAACGAGGTTGATGTAGTCGTACGTCTTCACAATCTGATCGATCTTAGCACCGAATGTACGACACCTTCGCGATCAGCACACGTTCAGCTCGGGGACGTCCCTCGTACTCTTGATCCAGTTGAGGCCGAGGGAGAGTTTCGTCAGCACGACGGTATGGTGACGGTGATGATGAAGTTACCGGCGTAGGGCTTCGCCTAAGCACTACGGTGATATGACCGAGGTGTGTAACTGTGGAGGGGGGCAGTGCACATGGCTAAACAATGTCAAATTGTGTGTCTTAGGGTGCCCCTGCCCCCGTATATAAAGGAGCAAGGGGGAGGCCGGCCGGCCCTTGGGCGCGCCAAGGAGGGGAGGAGTCCTCCTCCTAGGAGGAGTAGGACTCCTCCTTTCCTTGTCCAACTAGGACGGGGAAGGGGGAAGGAAG